GCTGCTTGGCGCTGCTGCGGTGCCGGGGAGCAAGCGCAGCTCCGCGCGGGCCCCGGGCTGTGCTGGAGCTCGCGCCTGGTCCAACCTCCGGCTCCGGCTCTGCGCTCCCCTCGGGATGCCGTGGCGTGACAAGCGCTCTGGGTTGGCTGCCTGTGAGGCCTTTGCCTGTCGAGTCTCGTCCTCAGATAAATTCCTCCTTAACGGCGCTAACAACCCCAGTGCCTGATTACACGAAGTGTGAGCTCCACTCGTGTTTTGGGAATAACAAGCTTCATTTAATTATCTCGTCCAACTTTGCTCCTTTCCGTTTATGTGCAGTCCCCGCCTGTCTCCTCTGTCTTGGTAGAGTTTGCGGGCTGGGCCACCTTTCCCTGCTCCCAGAGCTCCTGGGGATGGAGGAGGACGGCGGGAAGTGAATAACTCCAAGCTGCAGCGCAGGCTGCTGCCGGCCGCGCGGCTCTTGCTGTGCCGTGTGTGGCAACGGCCCGGGCACGAGGAGCCGGCGCGCGCCCGAAGTGGGGACGGCGCCAGCGGGGCCCTTCCGATCCCCCCGCAGCGGGATCAGTAGGAACGCGGGGTGTTCCCGACCACCAGCATCGCTACCACGAGCGCTCGGACCATGGAGCAAAATAAAAACTGGCACTTTTCCGTTGCTCCTTGTTGCCATGACGTTATGAAAAGTAAGTCTATATCTATTTTCAAGATTTTCACTTCAATCCCACTTTTCTTGAATGTTGTGGTTAGTATTGACTACAGAAGTAGATTAGGAGAAGAAAATTATTTTATAAGTGACAGGAGGTCTCAAAGTATTTGAGATTTATGCCGAGATGTTCAATCCTGAGCATTAAAACCTCTTCTTGGAGAAAACTCTACGTTTGATACCACATCTAATTTAACTAGAAGTAACTGTGGGGTCTGTAGAGTGGTAACACACAATTGTACTGTACAATAAACGTGATCTGACACTGGCACCTGGCAAACTGCCTATATACTTCCACCCTCCTCCTCCTTCAAACTGTCAAACAATATTCTGCATGGTACAAAAAACAAAGCAGTGTAGAGTCTCTGACAGCAATTCTGCAAACCATTGAATATGTGGAAATAAAACACTTCAGTAGAACGGAGAAAGTGATGGGACATTTTAAGGAAAGGAGGCATATAGGAAGTCCAGGAATTCCAAAGACTTTTATTCACCTCAGAAGTTGTACCGCGCTGTAGCCCACATCCTGCTAGTGCAAAGCGGGATAAGGACGGCGGTGCTGAGCGGCGCTGCGGTTCATGGCTTCACCTTGGGTCCTGTTCTGGCTCCGCTCGGGCTCCGGGGCTGCGCACGGCTCATCCTCCGCTGGGCTCGCAGGATCCGTCAGTCCTCGAGCCGAGCTCACCAGAGACAACAAGAAACCCAAGAATCTGCATTTTGCTTCTCAAAGTCAGTAAGCTAATTATTTGTGGAGGTAGGTCGGAATAAAACTTTTCTGAAACATTTATCATTACATGGAAAAAAATGAGTATAAATTGCTGCATTATAATTCTGTATCTCAAAGATTAACAGTTCTGAGGAAGATATTCTGGTCTCTTTAAATGGTAGTTCTTAAAAGCCCCCTCCCCCCTTTTCTTTCATTTTTCTTCCCTTTTTTTTTTTTTTTAAAAGGCTTTTCTGCTAGCAGCCACCGCTAACCCTGGAGCCCTGTGCAGAGCTGCTGCTGCAGGGCACAGGCCAGCGGCTGTGCCCCAAGGGGCCGTTGCAGCAGGCAGCTTTGGAACGGGAATGGACTCTATGATAACATTTTCCGTGGTTCCTGTGTACTGCCCTTGCTTTAATATGACAGAAAACTCTGTCTCTCTATAGTGTATACATCTATACCCCACCTCGAGGCTAGTACGGTGGAACAGTTGTGGGACGAGATGGGATGCATCTGGGAGATGCAATCATGGTAAATGGATGAAGCCTGTGGCTGGAGGGAGGCAGCTGTGTTTAAACGAAGGAGCCCGCGCCCGCTCCAGGCCTTGCTTCGCCCTTGCTGCCGGGCTCCCCACAGGCGAGCTGTGCTGCAGGGCTGCGGAGCAGGGCCGTTGCGTGGCGCTCCGTGACGGGCCCGCTGCAAGGGCACTCCCTGGCGCGCGGGTCCCGGCAGGGCGCGGGGACGGGCTCTGCCCGGGCGCGCTGCTGGGGCCCAGCACTGGGGTTCCTTTTACCAGTGCAAAGACGTTACCAGCGATGCCCGGAGGCGCCGCGGGCTTGGCCGGCTGCAGAGCAGGCCGCGCGCGGGCACGATGGGGGTCTGTGCTGGCAGGGAGCCCCTCGGCTCCGTGCTGGGGGGCTGCTCCTGCAGAATGACTCGGGTACCTGGCAGGGTGGTGCCTGCCACGCACTGCGCAATCGCTGGCACGGGCCGCAGGGTCCCCACGGCCACAGCGCAGCCGTGCGAGGGCTGCCCGGGGATGGCAGGGCGCCAGCGTCTGCGGGAACATGCCCGGGGGACAGCCTTGTGTTTTGTGCCGGGGTCACTTCTGGCACCGTGGGCAGCACTGTGGCCACAGCAAGTGAATTATCTAATGCGAGGAGCCCCCCGCCTGGCCCGTGGCGGTGCCTTTGGGGTGGCTGCAGGTCCGTGCACTGAAGCGTCTGCTCCTGCCGCTGGTTCCCCAGCAGGTTCCCCACCTGCTTTGCTTTACTGCCCAGCGGCTTGTTCCTGAAACCCGAAGGACGTTGCAAATAGGTCTCTTACAGTAATCAGGCCCTTCACCACACTTGTGAAAATAAGGGTTTTACTAGAGCACCGATGTAGTTTGTTGCCTCCTCGGTTCAGGTATCTGAGCATCAGCTCAGCCAGCCTGCAGGCCGGTTGTTCGTGTGGGCCTCGGCTTTCCTGCTCTCGAGCACAGCTTTGCCCTCGGAATCCTTCGAAGGGAAGACTGAGAAATGTGTAAAAGCTTTGGATCCCATTACTGGAAAAAGCATCAGAAAAGTGTTGAGGTAGGTAATTACCTTAATCCAACCGAAATAGTTGGTCACAATATACATTAGATGAGCATCTAGAGTCAGATTTGAACATGCAGTCAACCTGAACAAAATTAGCTCAGCAACAGTGGTCCAGATTTCTTAATTAGATCTCAGTGACGAGGCCATTTAATGTTTCCAAAAGTCAACTGCAAATTCTACAAGTGACAATTCAGGAAGGCTTTCTGAGGGTGCATTAAACCCCGGCTGGTACCCCACTGTCAGAGGCAGCATCAAAGGCCAACCTCATTTATTCCTCTCTGCTAGAGTCCCTTAAACTTCCAAACAGTGAGCCCCAACACAAAGTAGTGGCATGGTTAACTTCATAGTAATAAGCTATTGCATTCAAAATACACACTTAACTCCAATTTCCATTGAACAACACAGAAGGCGGAAATACAACAGCATTTTCCAGGCAGTTGACAGTCCATTTCAGAGCATTGCACAAAAGCAGGGGAAGCCCCGGCTTGTTCTGGACTTTTGAAATAAGAGCTTGCGGCAGCAGCTCAGATTCATCCTTCCTGTTTCCAGTGGTGTTTCCCAGTTCAACTGCCCCAGCAGTTTAGCTTGCATCGTTTGATGAAATGCCACAGCTTAATGGCATGCTCACAGAAACATTTAAGTTGAATAAAATTCTGGGTTCTTGACCCCTCTTTCTTCAACAATGGACCCTGCATTGTGACATCTTCCAAAAAATGCAGCAATTTCTGAAAGAGAAATTAGGCTGTCCTTTTAAGTAATGGAATAGTTGGGTAATTTTTGCCTTTTTGACTCTCCTTATTTCTTGTAGGTTTTAAGTAGAGGCTGCCGATTTAAAACCTATTATACTCTAGAGACCACTTGCACCCTCTCAGCAACGTCACCTTGCTGAGGTCGCTGCCCTGCTATTTTAACACTTGTTGATTTTGCTTTACATCGCATTCTGCTTAGGAATATCTGGAATATGTGTCTTTACGCCTGCTATTCATTGAACACATACACATTAAAGAGGATTGAGTTTTAGATGCCTCTTGTATCAACCAATTGCTTTTCACAAAATAATCTATTATTTTTAGCAGATATGTGGGCATGCCCAGACTAGAAAGGCAATGCTCCTGCACTGCTTCCTCTGCAGAACGTTTGCCACATCTTAAAACAGAGGCTGCTGCTCACACGCGTCAACCAAGCAAAAGAAGCAACAGTTTTAGCTTTGGAGAATGAGCCGTGTTTACAAATAAAACAAAATTAACCCTCAATACACATACTCCCCCCAAAGAACTTGCTCAAGGCTGTACACATCTGGTTTGGGCAGTACTGACTAGAAGTGAATAGCGTGCCTGGCTTGCCTGCTTTGAAGTAGCTCTAGAGTTCAGTTTATGTTTGAGCTTTATATGCATTTCACATGGGATGTGGACTGGAAGTGTGATAATCAGATGGTTTTCCATGACAGCATCTTCCATGTCTTTAGCAGGAAATGATGAGATTGCCAAAAAAAGTGACAAAATCTAGTCAACCTTATAATTTTGCCTTGCAAATAGGAAATTGGCTTCTTGGGCTTGTGTATAAGAAATCATCACTCAGGTAAAAATTATTAATTTTTGCTTTTATAATGATTTTTTAATACTTGGAGCATGGTATATGAAAGCAAAGTGAAGGAAGGTGAAGTTAGTGAGCAAGTCTGTGGGCTGCACAGTGGCAGCTGAGAGGTGGGAGCACGAGGGCATTTGTTAAGTTGCTGGAGTCCATGGGTCAGGTAGTTTTCAACATTCATCCCCAGTAGGAAAGACTTGGTGGTTTGGGTGGTGTGGTATAATTTGATTTGTTAGAGTGTGAGTGTTTTATAACCGTCATTTGCGAGTAAATTACTTAGTAGTATTCTGCTTTATGACTGGCTGAAGAAACTTAGTTGATGCTATAATATAATTTATTTCCATGCATAAGTGAGTGACCTTCATATCTTATTCTGTCTCTTGTGACTTATTATGGGCCATTCCCACACTAGTGGCAGAGCTGCGCTCCACCACTGCCCCTTGCTTTGTGCTCTTGCTCCCACTAACAGTGCGTTCTCTGAAGATAGCTGATGAAGTTTATAACCCTGGAGTCTGTTCCTGAATGTGCATGACTGTGATCCCATGTTGGCATCAAGCTCACCTCCTGCAAATGCTCTTTTGTTTGGACATTGTAAAACCAGTGAGAGGTTCCTCAGGGTTGGACATGGAGAGGGTGAATTTTCTCTGTTGCTGCTTTGTCCCTTCTCTGCTGGGCTGTTGCTCACAGCGCTGTCTCTGATGTTCTCCTGAACTACTCTCTAATACCCTAGTGCTGGAGCTTTCACTTGCCTTGGAAGTTACTGCACAACATAAGACTCCTCGTGGTTGGACCGTTTCCTGCTTTTCCACGAGTGTTTTTTCAGGACTTCGTAAGAATGCTGTTGTACCTTGGAGGATCGAGGTCATTATGATCTCAAGATTTGAAGTGATTTTAAGAACATTCGAAAATAAGTTCAAAACCTATTTTATCACAGTGTGTATTGCTGGGCTGCTCTATAATCACTCCTATCTCTTGGCTAGAAACGTTCATTTTCAGCC